ATTCATGGATAGTCTTCAAACTGCCTTTGCTAGTCCTAGCAGACAGTGTTTCTCCAGATCTGTCTTAGTCTTCACTTGATGACACAAAGGTATCTCTAAATGACTTACAGCATGTTTTAATACTTACAATTCGACAAAGTCTGTCTAAAAATTTCGTTAATATTTTTGACATAAAATGACTGCTTCCACATCTGATTGACCCAGTCAGTGTGTCAAGAGAGACTCAGTGAGTCTATCTTTTTTATTGCAACGAAAATCAGCCATCTTGTATTAAGAATATTTGAAGCTTACAATTCGACAAAGACTGTCTAAAAGTTTCATTAATATTTTAAACATAAAATGACTGTCTCCATATCTGATTAACTCAAACATTGTGTCAAGATAGACTCAGTGGGTCTATCTTTTATTGCAACAAAAATCAGCCATCTTGAATATCGACTGCCTCAAGTGATCATTGAACTCAAGTGATCATCAAACTCAAGTGATCTCATCATCGAACTCAAGTCACCTCTTCAGAAATACATTTGAAGCTTCCATACCACAAGTGCAATTCGATGTCCTTAAATCATGTCAGCCTAAATCTTGGACAAAAGGTATAATTAACAGAAAAGCGCTCGGAGCTCGAAGCTTAGGGATCGTTAGATGAACGCTTTTTTCGAGAGAGGTTCTTACGAAAGGAGGACACATGGTCGCGTTTACCGAGCTGTCGAGCAACGGCGCCAAGCGTAGTCGTTGAAAAGCTACTGCAAGTCCGACTATTTTCCAACGCGTCCATGAAGACCACTTGAACAAAACAGCCAAGACTGTCTTAAGAAGACGTCGCGAGGAACACGTTAAAAATACGTTAACAGCTCGTAACAAGTAGCCTTCGTGTCAGTGATCCCTGAACGAGAAATCTCGGTAAGATCGCCTGTAGGTGTCGTCGTCGACAGGTATTTCACCCGAGAAAAAGAGGATGTCTCTTTTTATGCCTTTTTTGCGCTACTTTTCTCTTGTCTGCCGCTGATCGATGAATCAGGGGACCCGTCTTTCAACATCGAACAGGGGGAGCGTGTAGAAACACGTTAACGGAGCTGACTATATCTTGCATTGAAACTATGTTTCAGGAACATTCTCGATAAGGAAATTTGTAATTTTGTCTATAATAAGTGCTTGAGGTAATTATGTCGTAAATAGTATTTTACGCGAATAGAAAGTGGGATACTCCGAAATCTATTAGTACTCGGTGCAGTTGTAGGAATTTCTTTGTGTAAGAGACAATGTGTGGGAGGAATGGATAATGATTTTCTTGTGTTTGGAAATGGTTGAAGATTGAATACCTAAGAGTTCGTATCCCCAAATCCTCATTTCTTCAATCATCGAATGATCAAATCCTCAATTTCATATTTGCTAAATAGCTACATTTGGACCCCGAGATCTTCAAATCTAGAGACACTCGCATCCTCAAGTCTTCATATCTCCGTATGTTCACATCCTCAAGTCTTCACCTCTCCATATGTTCACATCCTCAAGTCTTCACATCTCCATATGTTCACGTACTCAAGTCTTCACGACTCCAAACACTCACATCCTCAAGTCTTCACATTCCTAAATCCTCATATCCCCAAATCTACACATGTCCAAATCCTCACATGTCCAAATCCTCACATGTCCAAATCCTCATATGTTCAAATTCTCACATGTCCAAATCCTCACATCCCCAAATCCTCACATCCCCAAATTCTCTCATCCCCAAATTCTCACACATCCAAATCCTCACATCCCCAAATCCACATATGTCCAAATTCTCACATGTCCAAATCCTCACATCCCCAAATTCTCACATGTCCAAATCCTCACATCTCCAAATCCACACATGTCAAAATCCTCACATGTCCAAATCCTCATATGTCCAAATTCTCACATGTCCAAATCCTCACATC